GGGAGGGGTGGTGGAGGGGTGGCTGGGTTTGCCACGCCCACTCAGAGCCTGGGTCTCTCTTTCGCTCTCTGGGTCGTGCTGGCGCCCAGTACGTCACCCCGCAGCTCCCCGGGTTCTCAGATGAAGCCCGGGCTTTCCAAGAATAGCATCCTGGGCACCTGTGCAAAGCGTCCCCTTGCTGAAGTCACACGAGGAGTCTAAGTTCCCAGGTGCCCGTTTCCCCTCCCTTCCGTCCTGCGACAGGTTCCTTCTTTTGAAATTCAGAATTCCAGTATTTCTCCCTCTCCTCTCCCTTGAGATTTGTAGGGGCCCATTTTTACTACTGACGTGGGTGCAGCTCAGGGAAAGAGTAGAGGTGAGTGGTCGTGCCGGCCTGCTGACCTTTGCAGCCCATGGCACGACTGCATTCCACTCTTGTAGAGGAAGAAAAGAGAGGGGCAAGTGGCTCCTCCCATCACCAGCCCGGGGAACACTCGCAGTGGGGGCCCCTGTCCATCTAAAGACAGAAAGTGTGGTCTGAACATCACAGGTCCGCCTTCCAGGGAGGAACCACGCCCGTGGTCATTCACAGCCAGCGTCTGTGTCAGCCCTACCACTTGCTGGATCTTTCGCTGAGTTTGAGGGTCTCAGAATTCCTCCCCTGGTTGGGGGAATGGTGGAGGCTCAGGGAAAGCAACCAGAGAGCCACGGCCATAAGGCTCCGCCGTGTGAGCCTAGGTCATCTGTCTCTCGGCACTTTGACCCTCGGAAGTCCTCTGGGCTCTGGTGCTGAGGGTATAGAAGGATGTCCCCCTGTCAGGGTGTCCCAGGATCCCATTTCGGTCACAGGGCATTGTGGGGATGCTTGGGGCGCCGCGTCTCCTTTGCTTGTGGTCCCCTGGCGGTAAGAGGGTGGAGGTGAGGAGAGGGAGCTGGCGGCAGGCGCCACACGGAGATGGGAGTAGAACCCAGGCCCTCAGGGCCCCAGAGGGGATGGCCACCTCACGGGGCCTCGGTGGAGGCTTTAAGGAGGGCTGAGACAACCACACACACCTGCCCAGAAGAGCACGTACTTCATGCTGGTGCAGAAGCTGCCTGAGGTCAGGGACTCCCTTTTGTCCTGTGTTTCAGCACTTCCAAAAGCAAGGAACCTTCTCCAGGATCTGGGCAGAAAGGAAGTCCAGGTTCCAGCCAGGGAACACCCTGTCCAGGGACGCAACCAGGGCCACAGCTGGGCACCAGCCCCAGCCAGCTGCCCGCTGACCAGAGCCCTCACACTCTCCGGAAAGGTAGGTCGCCGCCACCCACTGCGTCCCGCGGCCTGGAAGCCTCTCTCCCTCCACCTGCACAGATGCTTAGAAACTGGTTTATTGAAACATTCCTGGTCTGGGCATGAGAGCTTTTAGAAAGTAACCAACCCCACAAGGGACAGTTTCATTATCATCTCTCAGTCTACTCACTGGGCCTCCGCAGGGGCTCCACGGGGCCCTCTTTCCCATTCCCTGAGACCATTGTGCAGACATCCCCCTGGATGACAAGTGTCTTCATGGACCCTGCCAGGCCTCCTGCCGTCCTTTAAAACTCTGTGTGGCGCCTTCGGTGGGAGCCCCTGCCCCAGCAGGACGCAGCACGGCTGCCTTCCCCAGGACCGTCTGCAGAAGGGGACACAGAGGTGGGATCCAGTCTGTTTCTGCAGGAGGCAGACCTGCCCCGCGATGATGTTTCTCTTGTGGGGGCCGGAGAATTTCTCCACTGGCCTGTGAGCTGCCCTCCCCAGATTTCTGCCACTGCGAGAACCCACTGCCAAAGGCCTCCTTATTCTCCCCAAAATGATTCCCAAGGCGGAGGCACACTCCATGGTGGTTTCACAGATGGGGGCCGCACGGAACGTGTGCTCATCAGAACCCCCTGGGTCGGTTTCCACCGTTTGTCATCTCTTCACACAGTCTTTGAGGTGCTTGAAACAGCACCTTGTTGAATCTGTTCTCAATTCCGGCCTGTCCGGCTTCTGGATGTGGCTTTGGCTCCAGCATTTGGGAACAGGCAGGCTCACCTCGTCCACACAGGTCCCCTCCCGTCCAGTCCGTCCCCGTGCATTCCTTACATGCCCTCCAGGTGTCTGCTGAGCCCCTGCCATGTGCGGGGTGGTAGGCGCTAACAGGCGCTGGGCTTCTGTGGCCAGAGGACTTGGTCCTAGGTCGCTGTTAGGGGCTCCCAGAGCCACTGTGCACTTCAGCCGAGTCAGAGCTTCCTGCCCTGAGGACGGCCGCCCTGTCCAGGGGGTCCACTGTCACAGCTGACCTCTCGTGGTCCCTTCCTGGACACTGCAGCCCTGACTCACCCTTCTCGGAGTGGCCGCTGACACTTTCTGCACACTGAAGTGATGAGAGGACCCTGGGAACTCAGCCTCTGCCTGGGGATGGGAAATTTGTTCTCCCGTTTAGCCGGGTGTGTAGTGTGTGTGCTGATCGTGGCAGGAATCCAGAGAAGAGGAGGAGAAATTAGTGAACAGATGGGCAGATATGAAACTTTGCATGTCTAGGTGGATTTTTGAAAGCAGTGTTGGCTGCTCTCAGAGTCGGGGGTGGAGGAAGGGGTAGGCAGCAGGGAGGGGTGTGCTGACAACCACGTGGACGCCGGGCATCCTTTCACAGCCCTGTGTGTTGTATCGTGTTTCCTCCTCCAGTTTCCAAGAAGCTGGCACCAATCCCACCCAAGGTCCCCTTCGGCCAGCCGGGGCCCGTGCCTGAGCCGCCCGCAGGCCAGCCGTCCCCACTCAGCCTGTCTCCCACGCCCCCCAGCACCCCATCCCCCTACGGACTGAGCTACCCCCCGGGGTACGCCCTGGCCTCGGGCCAGCTCTCCCCGGCCGCCGCGGCCCCTCCTCTGGCCTCCCCATCTGGCTTCACGAGCACTTTAAGTAAATCGCGGCCCACGCCGAAGCCCCGGCAGAGGCCCACCCTGCCACCGCCGCAGCCTCCCACCGTCAGCCTCGCGGCCTCCAGCCCACAATCCGCCGAGCATCCCGTGCTGGACAGCGTGTCCCCCGGGGAGAGCATGTCTACAGGTAAGTGAGCCGCGCTGCGGCATCTCCTGATCCTTAGCAGTGGCCCTGCGGAGGGACCCCCGTGTGCCAGGGGTGCCTGCTGGAGCCACACGTGGCATCGGGGTAGTCTCCTTAGAAGTTCCGTGAGGTTGTGGGAAGCCCTGGGGGCCGGTGGTCCTGCAGGGGGAGGGCAGGGGCTCCCTAGGGAATGTCTCCCCATCGAGTGTCCCCCGGCCTGGGATTCTGATTCTGCTCTAAATTTGGGGGGTGAGCACCTGAGTCCCTGGGAGAGGGTGCATCCAGAGAGGCTGGGTGCTGACGGCATCAATGCACAGGTCAGGGGTGCGGCCTGCAGCCCAGGCATTCACGCCAGTCCTTATCTTGAGAACAGAGGCTAAGAACCAAAGACATTTTTCCCTGTTTATTTAAGAAGCCTTATTAGAAAAATGTTTTTCTAGCAATATACATTGAGAAAGCAGCCAGTATCAGGAAGGCTGCGGGTTCCCCTGGTTCTTTGAGGAGCTGATTGTACAAATCCACAGCTATGAAATTTAGTTTTGCTTTAAACTTAAAACCAAAGACAGAGCTGTTTTCCTCCAGGAAAATATGTAAGCATGACACACACCACACAGATCTCTGTGCGTGCACACACAGATGCACACCATGCACAGATACTACATATGTATACCAGATACACACACCATGCATGCAGCACCCACATCCCCACACTCCATCACATACAAACATGTACACACACACACACGTACAAGCTGCCTCCCAGCCACACACACACAGACACTGCAGAGAGTGGGTTGGCCTGGTCCCAGGTGCCCCAGGACCTCTTACCCCGACATCCCTCTCCAGGAGTGCAGTTTTCCCCTTGATTCGGTGGAAGGTGAGCCTGGGGGCTCCAGCGCACCTCTCTGCTTGTGAACAGGCTAGCCCAGTGTGTGTGCGTGTGTGCGTGTGGTGGGGCAGGAGTGGTACATACGGCTGGGAGTGGCCGGTGGTCTGGCTGCTGTATCTCTGGATGTGGTTAATGAAGGCACCGCTGCCTCGGCCACCCAGAGGTTTATGAAAACGAAGGAAATTCCTCCCCCGGGTAGTTCTGGGGTGACGCTGTGTTTCTGGAAGAGCCCTCGATGGGAGGAGGCCCAGGCTGCTGCCCTTGGGCTGGTGATCTCTAGAGGGGCCGCTCCTCCCGCACCCCCTGGGGGGGTGGCAGGGGAGGTTTCAGGGGCTGCTGCCCTTGCGTGGCCCTCTCGCCCCGCCCTGTCTGGTCCTGATGTCCTCTGGCCGCAGCAGCCTGGCCTGTGGCCCCTCTGGACAGGGCTCCGGGCAGCGTTGTCGGTGTGGCCCGTCTGACTGTGATGCCGGGCGTGGTCCCTGTCCCGTCCTCGTCTCATGTGTTTCTTCCTTTCTCCGAATCCTGTCGCTGTGTTCTGGCAGCTGTGTGACGCGGTGACGCGGTTTTGGATACGTGTGAGGGGGAGTTCAGGGTAAGCGGCCCCGGCCTCGCCCCCTCTGCTCGCAGCCAGGCCGCCGCTCTGCGCTCTGCATGTGCCTGGGACCTGCACGGCTGCCGCCCGCAGCCCCGGCGGGTGACTGGACCCCTGAGCTCGCTGGCTTTGGGCATCACTGGCCACTGCCTTTTTTTTTTAGGAGACGGGTGCAGTGGGCCCCGCTCACCTTCTCTGTGTGCTCCCGCACCCCCAGGTTTAGGGGAAGGGCCCCAGGAGCGGCCCTGGCCAGGGTCATGGGCACACCCTCCACCCCCAGCCGTGACCCTGGCCATCTGACTGTGATGCTGGGCATGGTCCCTGTCCCATCCTCGTCTCATGGCTCTAGGGGGGCTCCACTTTAAGGCGTAAGTCCTCATCTGCCTTCCTCTGGGCCCACGCGGCTGGCAGACACTGAAGAATCCATAGTGTTGATACTAGAATTCCATCGTGAGGTCATTTTCCCCAGTGGGCAGGGCCGGCCAGGTCCCTGGAGCATTTACTCCTCTTTCTGCCTGGGCTCCGCCTCCTGTAAAGATTAGGTGCTCAAAAGTAAAACAGAGGCAAGAGCCTGAAGGAAGCCAGTAATCAGGTGCTCCTCCCTCAGTGAGACGGGGTGGCCAGAGTGAGGCGGCGGGGGAGTCCCTGGGGGGTCCCTCCTGTGCTCCCGTGAATGCTGCTGAGCCGTGGTCCTGCAGACTCAAGCCGGGCACAGGCCCAGGATGTCCAGCACGGGCCCCATCTGAGGCCCTCCTGGAGCCTCTGAAACAGGGAGACCCCCGTCCCCTAGCAGTGTCAGAGGGGCTTCTCCCTTGATTGGGGTCTACGGGTGCGGCCAGGATGACAGCTGAGCAGCTCCCCTCCTGGCTGTGCATCCTTTTCCTCCAGCACCTGCAGACATGCTCCCACCTGCACTGTCCCCCATGACTGCTGACGCCCCGGGAAGGTAAGAAACTGCCCAAGGTTACTGTCCCCCCAGCGAGATGGGACTTTGAATCCAAGCTGCAGGGCCCATGCTTCCCCCCAACAGGATGCTGCACGGTGGCTGGCTGGGCCCAGGCGCGCGGGGCCAGGTGGGGACGGGCTGGGCTGGCAGACGTCCTCTGAGACAGGAGCAAGGCCCCTCAGCCCCCCAGCTCTGCTCAGTCAAGCAGGGGAACCAAGACAGGCAGGATCAGCATCTTGAGGGCTGTTTGCAGGTAGAGCAGAGGGTGAGAGAGAAGGACCTTTGTCCCAGAGCTTCTATGTTTGTCTGTCTTTTAGGACGGTGTCCAAATGTCTCTGTCCGTCCTCTTGCTATGGTATCCTTTGGGCAGAGTGTCTGTTTTACAAGGACAAGGGAGGTCCCCACCCTGACCTGGCCTAGGGCTGCTGCACGTCCTCCCAGTGCTGCTCCCGGCCTGGGGCGGCGAGGCTCAGTGAGGCAGTGACCCAGCAGGCCCAGGAGGGTGTGTGACCGAGTGAAGGGCACCAGGGCCCGCTCAGCCCCGAGGAGTCGGGGGGCTGCAGTCCAGTGCCTGCCTTGGCCTTGCCTGCACGGAGCTGAGCCCTGTGACCTCAGGTCCCCTCTTCCTGCTATCTCCCAGGAAGTGACCCTTTGGGGCCCCCAGGAGGGGTGTAACTGGAGGAGACGGCTTCCCTAGTGCTGGGATAGGGGGTTCCCCCAGTCAGGGAGCCAACAGTCTGCTCCCATTATCACTGGGGTCAAGGGAGACCCCCACACCCCATCCTGCCTTCACCAGCCACCCCACGTGTACCATTTGTGGTCCCGGAGTGAGGCCACCGTCTCAGGACCCCCCTCCCTTCATTCTCGGACTTGGAGAAGTGTTTTCCCAGCCTTGGAACCCTGTCCCTGCAGACGAGAGGAACTAAATGCAGCCTTCAAGAGATGTCACTGAGCCCTGCCTGGAAGGCATCCTTTTTATGGAATTGAGAGTATCACGCGGCGTGGCTGGGGGAGCTGGCCCCTGGCTTGAACCACCCACCAGGCTGGGTCCAAGGCTTGGAAGGCAGGAGCCCAGTGGAGGCGCTACGCTGCCCCTGCAGTAGGCCCCTACACAGCTGGCCCTTCAGTGACTATGCCACCCCAGGCCGGAACCCCTTTCAGCCAGCTCTCTGCCACCTTCCAGATCTCGTCCACTTTGACGTCCCCTCCATCCACGTAGAGCTGGGCTCGACGCTGCGCCTGAGTCCCCTGGAGCACGTGCGACGACACTCGGCGGCCGAGAAGAGGGACTCGGAGGAGGAGTCTGAGAGCACAGCCCTCTGACCCGACGCGCGTGTACATACAGCCCCGGCCGCCCGCCCGCCCCACCTCCGTTGGCTCCTCCCCGTCACTGCCAGCGCGAGGTCGGACTTCTGCAGAAACCCGTGTGGCACGTGTCGCTGGTGCAGGTCTTCCTCGTTCCCTCTGGGTGGTAACTGGCCTTTTGTTTGATCTTTGCCTTTGACTTTGTGCCTATTTTGATCCACTTTCGGCCTCCACGCCAAGCGACCACCCTCTCTGTCCAAGGCCTTGCTGGTCAGTGACATCCTCTGCAGGGTGGGGTGTGGAGGGTCCAGACCAGGGGCTGCCTGCCACCTGCACTGATGGCCAAGGTTGAGTCCCGCGTGGTCAGCCTGGTGGTGTAGAGGGGGGAGGCCGGCCAGGGTGAACCTTAACCTGTGGACTCTACAGTAAATGGCTGAAATGAAATTTGTCTTGCTTCTCCACAGTGTGGGCTGGAGCTCCCTTTATTATCTTATTGTTTTATATTTGTGAATTTGAAAAGTGATCTTGAGTGTCTGGAGGGTCCGAAGGTAGCGCCCATGCCTCCCCCGAGCATTAGCTGTCACTCAGCAATTGCCCCCACCCTAAGATCCCAGGGGCAGGCACCCAGGGCCCTGAGTGCAGGGGGTCCAGGAGTGGCCTCTTCTTTCTGGAGGTCACAAGTGAATAGCAATAATTCTGTTACCCAAAGCACGGGGAAGGTGAAACCAGGCTGGCGCCCTGTGGCGTGGAGGGCTTCACTCCTCCATTCCACAAGTCACATCCACTCTCAGAGAGGGGGGCCGAGAGGGCACTGGGGAGCCTGGTCACCCTGGGGACTAAGGGAGCGAGAAACAGATTCGGGTCTTGCATGCAGAGTCCAACCTTACAATCCCACCCTCTACCATAGATATGACAGACCTATACGTGATATAATATTTGTATATATGAAATCTATATTTGTTTAATTTGAGCCATTCAATCTCAATCACTGTACAGGTGTACAATGAGAAATTTAAATGCTTCGTTATTTTTCCCAACAGAGTGTAAAAATAACCCTCCTCCGACTGTGGGATTTGCAGCCTGTTGCCGTGAATGGCTGTGCTCGCTTCCTGGCAGGGCGTGTTCTGCACCCAATTTGTCATGGAGCCTGGGGGTTGGAAGTTACCTTTAAATACATGTACAAATAGTTGTCAAAAGTAATGTTATTAAAATAGATTTATTATCCCTGAGCGTGGCCTAGCTTCCTGTTTTACTAACAAGCTCGCGGGGACGCGGGACTCGAGGAAACTCGAGGTCACGGCCAGTCCCGTCCTCGGTCTGTGTCTCTCAGCGCCTGAGATGTTACAGCTTACATTCTCTGGGTGGCAGGAGGGAAGACTACGCAAATGTGAGCTGCATCTTTGAAAACTCAATTTTCAGCCCCTCACCTCTGTTGTTGAATCCAGGGAGGATGAAGCAGCCCGCCCACGAGGTCCCGACACGCCAGACGCCGGTGAGTGAGTCTTGTCTCGTTACAGCCCCGAGCAACGGGAAGGCTTACGTTCCCGGAGCCGCTGCTGAGGGGAGGCGGCTCTGGGGACACTGGGTACCTGGCAGCGTGACGTGGCGACTCTGGCTCAGCGGTGGCACCAGGACGAAGCAAAGTGCTCAGGTTCCAGATGGACTCTTCACTTCGGCGCCTTCACACCCACGGCCCAGCGCCCCCGGGGGCGGGCTGGCCAGCTGCGAGTGCGCCCCGGTTCTCCAGGCGACGTCTGCCAAGCCAGCGTGGCCGTTCTCCACCGATCAGTCCCAGCCTGGAGCCTCAGCCCATCTTCAGGCCACCTGCATCGCTACTGCACCTTGACCTTCTTGCTCAGGGGGCTCTGGGGCTGCTCTACAGGGGCCCGTTTCTGCTGGGGGCCCCCGTCCGGCTGCTGGGCCAGGAGGGCCGCCCGCACCAGCCTCAGCTCCCGCTTCTCCCTGCGCCCCTCCATCTCCTCGATGTCGCCAGCGAACAGGGCCTTGAGCGGTGCCATCAGCTTGGGCACCGTCGGGAAGTCTCCCAGGCTGACCTTCGAGGCAAGACAGACGAGGACACGCCTCAGAGAGGCTGGAGGGAGGAAACCGCGCACTCGCACCAGAGGGGCAGAGACGCCCTCCCAGGCCTGGGCTCAGGAGAGGAGATGCACCCCAGGAGGAACACCAGGCTCCTGAGGCTCCCCCACCTGCCCCTCCTTCATTCTGAGGGGCCGGGACCAGCTTTACTGCAGAGGAGGGGTTCAGATGGCCTCACTGTGGGGACGGACTGGGCCTCAGAGGCTCTCAGTGGACTCTCTCCAGAGGCCGGACACCGACGTCTGTCCAGAAGGCCCTGTGCCGGCCCGAGCCTGGCTGCCTGCATGTGGATGGAGGGCGTCCCCGCCCCACCCTGCTGGAACCTACCTTCATGTGGTCAAAGGCGATTCCAACTTTCTCATTGAAGTCAGGGCTGAAGACCGGGACCTTGGCATAGCGCTGGCTGAAGTGATTCAGCATGATGAACTCCGCCTTCATGCGCATCCCCACGCTGATCGCCTGGGAGGTCGTGCTGCAAAGAAAGGGTCGGACCAAGGCTGAAGCTCAGCAGAGGGCGGGACCCCCAAGGAGGGCACTGCACGGACCCAACTCGGGCAGCCAGGGGGCTGGAAGCGTCCATGTCACTGCCACAAACCCACCCAAGAGCCAGATTCCTCCCACCGCCCCCCCGTGAAGCCCAGGCTCAGTGCCAGCTGTCAGACCTCCCACCGGTGAGGGCTCTTCACCTGGGACGACACTCTCCTTGAAGAGCCCAGGATCCCGCCCCCCGCCAGGCTCTCAGCTTGTTGGGGCGGATTTCCCGTTCTTTCAGGAGCCTGCATCCTGCAGCGCCTTGCCCAGAGAGCTCTGCAGAAGCAGGCAGAGGCCCAGGAGAGCACTGCCCGGGACAGAAGCCCCCATGGCCTTTGGTGAGAAGCAGGCCGGCCCCGTGTCCCTGGAGGCCTCAGGATGCTCAGTGTCACCGTGGAGAGGGACCGAGCAGGTGACGTGGGCTCTGCTACCTGTGTGTCTTTTCCGCGGCTTCCTCTTCCAGACCGTCTTCCAGCGTGGCCTCGTGGATCAGGAGGGTGGCGTCCTTCCCTGGAGAAGACGCACAGGTGTCCAGAGAGCTCCCCACCCAGGGCCCCATGACGCACTTGCGTGTCAGGGTGACAGCCAGAGGCGGCTGCCCCTACTCACCCATCTGGACCAGAGCCTCACAGGGCATGGTGTCCCCTGAGTAGACCACTTTCCAGCCAGACGAGTGGACCAGAGCGCAGCCGAACGCGTGCTTGCAGTGCCGGACGAGGCAGGTCTGAAACTGGAGGAGCAGGTGCGCGGCTCTGAGGCCTGTTCCCCGCACCCCACCTGCCCTCCCGCCCTGGGAACACCCCTACCTCCGCCAAGTCACATGCTCCCAGCAGCGAGCTAATCAACCTTTCAACTTCGGGGTTGGAGACCTCGGCTCCTTTCTGAAGGCATTTGGCAGGAATAACACTAAGAAAAAACATTCAGAAGTTAAAAAAAGAAAAACCCCAAATGTTTAAATTTGAAGTTCAAGTCTAGCTAGAGAGACTGAAAGTCATCGTTATTAAAAAACACAATTTAAATCAGTCACTGAGACAGCAAAGAGGAGTCTGCTAAGAGTCGAACCAAAACCCAAAGCCACAGTGAGGACCCAGCAGCCGGCTCCTGGTGTGGATGGTCCTTGAGCAGCCACCATTCAGGAATGGAACTGAAAAGGGGGCTGAGGAGTGTGTCAAAGAAAAGGAGCACTTAAAAGCGGGAACCGTCTGACAGGTTTTGACTCGAGGCTCCTCTACCATCAGCGGCCACGCTGAGGGAAAGGTCGCCAGGGGGCGTCACGAGCTGCCCGGGTACCTGCCTGGAGCTGGCGCCCGCGGAGGACTGCAGCCCTGTGGGTCGGGCCACACGGATGCTCACCTGACATGATGCAGGACCTCCTGGCACTGGTTGTGGTACTGCTGGAGCCAGGCCTTGAGCTGGGTGGGGGCGACCACGAGCAGAGGGCGGAGCGGCTTTCCCAGGGATGTCTGAAACGGTGAAGTCAGAGTGCCGAGTCCACGGCAGGTGGCTCCGTAAAAACACAGTTTGGAGCAAGAGGCATATGGCTGTGTGTCATCCAAGGAAACTCAAGACAACAATAAAATCAAGGCCCAACTCACCAAAGCTCGCTCCCTCTGCAGCAAGATGTTTAACAAGCCCTGGGAAGGAGGGGAGCACAGTCAGCCACGTCCACACCCGACTCCTACACTGGGTCCCCGGCTCTCGATCGGCCACCATCCCTCCAACACCAACCACCCAGTGGCCCCTAGACCAGCCTCCCACCTCTGGGTAGGGTCTGCTCAGAGCAGCCCAAGGGGCCCTGCGCCACAGGACACTCACTCACCTGGGCTTTCTAAGAGACCAGCGCCCGGCCAGGTGGCACAGCCAGGCTCAGGTGGGTGTGGGGACAGGGGGTCCTCACCGTGTGGTGATCCGCATGCAGGTGGGACACGAACACGGCAGCGAGGGCGCCCAGGACGCGGTCCACGTCTTCCCCATAGTGGCGGCACAGCTGCCCAAATGTGCCTTCACCGCAGTCCAGCAGCAGAGACGTGTCGGGGCTGTGGGGGATGAGGGGGCGAGACGGTCTCATCTCAGGCAAGCAGGTGCCGCCGGGCACCACCTCCTGCAACGTCTCGGGCTCTTCCCTGAGGAATGTGCAGGAACTGAGGGCGACCGCAGCCGGCCCACGGGACCCCAGCGCTGAGGGGCACATAGGGAGGGCCCAGAGCTGCACAGATGCTGGGGGCCCAAAAGATGCTTCTGAGAGGGTGCGAACGCTCAGAACTTAGGACTGTTCCGTTGGACTGAACGTGGCAGCCACCTCTGCTGCTGCCGGACGGCCCTGCGTTCGCTCGCCCAGTGCACAGGCCAGGAGCTGGTGTCGCCCCCCACGGCCACTCGGGGCTCTGGCTGGTGAGAGCTCGGCTCCCTCGGGCCTTCCAATCCCTCCCCTGGGAGAAACCCTGACACGAGAGGGAACCTGAGCAGGGAGGGCAGCCCAGGGCCACCCCGCCCCGGGGGCTGTCTTCACTGAGGTCTGCGCTCTAGGAAAGGCTGGAGCCACTTCAGGGACATTCCTCCGTCACAAGAGAAACACATCCCACACCCATGGTTTCTGGTACCGGCGGGGGGTAATCGCTGTGCATGTTCAATGCGTTAGTTGGTTGTTACCATCCACCACCAGCATCAAGGGGACAAAGCAAAACTTAAAATCGAGCCTGGAACTTGGTGGCTTGGCTTCCTTTGCAGACCCGTTTCCCGGCACCCTCGGTCCATCTAGCAAACCCAACTGAAAACTGTCCAGTCAAGGGGCTGAGCACAGAACAAGTGCAGAAACCCGGAAGCCGCTTCACACGGCGGTACCGTGTGCGAAGGGGGCCGTGTGACACAGAGCTCACCACCCCCGGCTGCGGGGGCCCAGGACCCGGAGCACCGGCGGGCAGGAGATGGGGGCTGGTCAGCCACTCCCTCACAGGGTTAACGTGAGAACTAAGATCTTTTCTCCGCGAGAGGGGGCACACAGCAGGTCACTAATTTATGCAGAGACGAGACAGAAAGGGTCACCAGCTCCGGCAACTCCCCCAAGTCCAAGTGAGCTACTGCAGCCAGAAGACAGCGTATCACCCGCCCCCTTGCCCGGGCGCTCTGGCCAAGAGCAGCCTCCAGGCTCTCGCCTGCGGCACCGGCTAGTGACCTGGTGGCGCGGGGCCCCAGGCGCATTTAGAGAACCGGCCGCTCCCGGGCCGAAGGCCTCCTGCTGAGGAGCCACACCTGATGTTGACAAGCGTGGAGCTGACATTCCGAATCTTCATGGGGATCGCGGACCCTGTTCCCAGGAAGACGACTTCTGGGTACTGACTTCTCTCCTCTGTGGAGAAACACACGGGCTCACACGGGCACCTCGCGTCTGTGGCCCGCAGCTGTCTACGGCAGTGCAGCCTAATACACTCCTCTATTCTCAAAATAAAAACCCACATCAAAGAGCTCGTGTCTTCCGGGAGCCAGCATCTGGCCACGAGACGAGGAAGTACAGCTTCCCAGGGCGTGGGTGGCCCGACCTGGCCAAGGTCCTCGCGTAAGGGCCGAGGAGAGGGGCTGGCTGCCCAGGGAGGAGAGCAGAGGCTGGCGTCCACCCTGCACCGGCCTTAACACCAGGCCCACATAGCCCCGTGGGGAGGAGACGCCCTACTTCACAGGGGACAAGGCGGGCGCAGAGGGTCAGCTCTCCAGAGGGGAAGAGGCAGAGCTGGGATTCACTCAGGGAGACGTGATGTTTCTGAGGCCTAGGCCCCTCCCGCGGCCCCAGGTGTGACTGTGCAGGTATGACCTAAGTGGACCTTCAACATGCAAACCGAGGCAAGTACAGCCAGGGAAGGCATCTTGCGGGAACACAGGTGGTGCCTGGTGCTGACAGGATTAAACCTGAAACCCACCTCTCCATCATTCGTTAGCTGAAAGTAACACTGGGAAAGAGGCCACGAAGTTCCCCGAGCTGCTCCTCCTGATGGGGCAGTGAAGGCCCCACAGGTGAGTGACGTGGCCAGGATCTTCCGTGGATCCTTATCAGCAAAGCCAGGACTAGACCCCAAGTGTCCGCACCCCGAGTTGTGTCCAGAGTTTCGCAGGAGGTCCCAGCACTGCCGTACTCAGCTCAGCTTGTCTCTCATAAGAGAGCTAGGCCCTGTCACCTCATGTTCCAATCTAACTGTGTAGGTGGGGGCAAGCCCTGGTGATTGAGCAGCGAACAGAGAAGCCCCTTAAACAATTACAGCGCGTTGGAGGGGGCCAGGCTGACACTCCGTGCAGTGCTGTGCCCAGGTCTGCAGGAGGACAGCGGGCAGGAGAGAGGCAGTCCTGGTCGGCTCACCTGCTGGGGCCGGGCTGTCCTGCACCGCCCTCCGGTACTCCTGCACGCTCTCCTGGAAGTTGGGCAGCTCCAGGGCCTCGGCTATGAATTCCTCAGGACTGCACGTCATAACAGCATCCCTGCAGGGAGGAAGGCATCTCAGGTGACGCAAGGGAGCAGGTGGCCTCCAGCAAGCACCTCAGTTCTCCAGAATCAACCCTTGGGGACCGTCTGCAGAAAGTGCTTTGAAATCAAGACTGAAGACTAGGAGCCTGACCTGGGGCAGCTCTGTTCTCCCACCTCGCAGAGCCTTCCCCAGCTCAGTGGGTCTCGGCGCCAGTTCAGAACAGTTCAAGCAACTCGGAACCTCTCAGCTCAGAGTGGGACGACCTGGCACTGCTGGGGCCGGGGGCGGGGCCTACACAGCCTCCCTGACCTCTCACTGGACACCAGTAGCCACCAGCATCCCCTGGGGCCGGGGGAGGGGGAAACACAACAGCACGAGACAGCCAGCCACAGTCTAGAACATGGTGTATTCTAACACAGACACTACGAGCCAGAAAGGACGCTTGTAATTATTCAGATTTTAAAAACCAAAGATGCAGGCAGTAAGCACCTGTCCAAGCAGCAACTTAGTTTATCAGGTCCCTGAAGCAGTGCCGCTCTGACCTGGGACCCCACGGCTAAGCATCAGCACAAGGGAACAGAATTCTACTCACAGGTTTACGTGTGAGATACTTACCTTCTCGTTAATAGCAAAAAGTTGAAAATGAGCAAACACCCCTATCGGGAATGCCAAGGACACCTCAACACGATGCAGGGGGGACACCCCATGTGCTCCAAGTTTAAAAGCACACACGTCAGCAGCCCTCGCTGCAGGGTGACGGGACTGTGGGTAGTCCTCATCCCACACTTACTTTCCATGTTGTAAAACAACGAGCATGTGGCTGTCCTCAGGGAAAACTCCCTTAGAAAGGATAGAAGCTGCCCCATCTCCCCCGCCCAGGCGAGAATCGGCCTGCCCAGGGGACCGTCTCCCCCAGACACGGCCACTCTGTTCACTACGTATCATCTGTGGCTGAGCTGCGACAGGGACCACAAGGCTGGCAGAGCCCAAGACACAGACCCCCGGCCCTTCGCCTAAAGCCCACACCACACGGACCTCTGCCACTCCCGCCGGGGCCGCAGCTGGTACTTGAGCAGACACTCGCCCCGGACCGTGGGCACACCGGCCGCGGTGCTCCCTTCCTGCAAGAGACAGAGCCACGCTCGTGGGCGGGAGGCAGAGGGCAATGCTGCCGGTGGGGCTGGAGCCGTGGCCGCAGATGCTACCTGCGGGCAGAAGCTGGCGAGCGCGGGGAAGATGTCAGGGTGGATGAGGTTGAGCTGCGCCTGGATCCGGTGGCTGCGGAGGTTGTGGACCGACGTGCAGTTCTCGTTCAGGACCAGGTGCTGGGTGTCGGGCCCGAATCTAAGACAACAGACAGTCAGCATAGCATCCTTTTGGGGGCACTCCTGCTGAAGGGGCAGCACCGGGACCGGGGCCGTAAGGCAGCTGGAAGCATTCAAGAGAATAGGCAACCCATCCGGAGACAGCCCTGTGTGGCCAAGCTCAGCCCCGCTCCCCGTCTCAAAGTCCGGAGTCTCTCCAGACCCAAACGCCTTGGGGCCTGTTGGAAAGAATATGGGTAAAGACAAGGAAAATTTCGATATTAGGAGCCCTCAGGTGGGGACTCGGAGACACAGGAGCACGGATGGAAGGAAAGGCAGAATCAGAGGAAAATAGGTGATGGATGTGAGGATTCAGACCCCAAAGGAAGAGACCGAGGTCAGTAAAGGGGAGCCGCCAAGGGAGGGGTGAAGAGAACACCCCACACTGTCACCTCGCGCCCTGTGTACAACCCCAGAAACTCCCTCCCCCACCCCTGACTGGCCTCGGCCAACAAAGCCAGGAGTGGGACCCACCCTCCCCGTCACTGGTGTGGGTCACTGGAAGATGGGAGAGAGCGAGGAGTGTTAAAGCCGCCTGACGGGCAGCGAGGGCTCAGCACACTGCAGCTTCTGCTCCACACCCACGACTCCTGTTAGGACGTACACAGCATCACCAGCAGAGGCAGGGAGCACGGAGGGTAGGAGCTGACAGGGAACCAGCACCAGGCCAGCAGGACGTGTGTCCACGGCCCCCTGAGTGGTGCCTGTCTTCACGAGGGTGGGGCCCCCCAGAGTTCAGGCAGAGGAGGCAGCAGGCAGCGCTGAATGGAGTAGGGGGAGTGCAGGGGTCTCTGTCCTCGGGCCGAGCTCCCTACCTCTCCATCCACTGCTGGTATCTGCTGTCCAGCAGCACATGCTCCGGAGTCATGTGAACCACCAGGGCCACGGGGGCTTCAGCCTTTCCTTGGTAGCTGGGAGGAAGGAAGCAGGGGCTCTGCTGTGTGAAGTGATACAAACTCAGGGCATCATGCAGATCAGGGACTGGGGGTGAGGGGCAGGACTGTGTGAGCCCACGGCTGCACCCACCACCCCGCCAGGCTGTCCGGGCCGCCCCCTGTCCGGGCCAGCTCTGGGGCTTCCCACGGGCCCCGCCTCTCTTGGGGCCCTGCAGCACAGCCGGCTCCTCCCGTCCCCACTCCTGTCACAGGGCTCAGACCTGCCAGTAGGACACTCGCTCTCCCTGACCCTCCCTCATCTTTCAAGGCCTCTCTTCCAACAAATCCCTGTACCTGACTCCACCCTGGTAACCCCCTTCCAGAGGAAGGCCGAGACACAAGTGCAAAAATTAAAATCACGTGTAATTTCAACTGTTTCGAGATAGTCCCTTACTGACATATTGTTTCCTTCCTTTCCCTTTAAAAAAATTTACCACCCCTCCCCCAACAAGAGCACAAGCAGGTGCGCAGGTTTGCAGGCTGTGATGGAAACCTGATGTGAACCTGCCGGTGACGCAGCAGTGCCCGCAGCCATCAGCTCGTGTGTCACAGTGCCATGACGTGCCATCACACGCGGGATTACAGTGCAGAGCCTGCGCCATCAGGGGCCCCAAAAGGGAACAGGGTGGCTCTCGCGAAGAACTTCTAACACTAACTTAAAAGAGCTGTAGCTGCCCAAAGGGACTTGTTGCGCTAAGTAGAATAAAACAAAATGCGAAAAAGTGCAGATACACAAAACTAGGGACAGGAAAAACATGGCCAGAACAGACCATTAAGAATGGGAGAGATAATTACCTCCCCACAAAAAAAAAAAAAAGTAGGGAGAGAAATTAAAACATTCCACCCTACCCTGTGGGTCAGATACCCCACTAAGGCCTAAGCCGAGATGCAGGTCGGGCCACCTCTCAGGGAAGACGAGCGACCTCGGGACCCAGTCCTGAGATGTCCCCACGCTGAGAGTGTCCCCTGACCCCACCCTCGGCCAAGACCGTCCTAAACGCCTCCTCCCACCTCAGTAGATGCAAAACAGTTTAAGTGGAGGGAACTCCTTTAAAAGGTAAAAACAACCCAAATAATGATCTAGGGCATTAGTGAGAACTCAAAATTCTGGAGCTTGTCCAGGACTTAGAACTCTGACTGGCCAGTAATTTCTAGTCTCTCTGGTTTTCAGTCCCTTCTGATTCCACTTCACGGCTGTGGACAGCAAGCAGCCCACCAACCACCATCACTAAGGACATCCTGCTGGCAGGACGGAGCTGTCCTCGG